AACATTTTTAACTTATACTTAATTTAGTGTTTAATTTTTACATTTCCAAACAACGTCAAAACAAACAATTTTTAATTGATCAAATTGATGAATGGCAAGACAAATGAAAATGTTACTGCGGACAAAATATGGCAAAATCTTATTAATCAGTAGAGGTTTACTTAATGACGGCCTCCTGTGAAATTTTTGTGATTTGTTTATTATTTCTCGGATTTCTAACTCTCCTAATATGCATATTTGGATAGCATCTTAGGTGGGATAAACTAGACCACCTTCGTCCCCGAAAGCAACGAACTCATATGTATGACCAACTCCAGGTTTTTGTAAAGACAGCGCAGTGTTAATTATTTGCATTATATATTTTTTTGTATTAGTATCCCCCGATGTATGTAAGTATTTGCTCACTATATGTCGGATGTCCGAACATTCGAGGCAACGTGCAGCAAATATTATCGAAATTACAAGTACTACTGATAATAGATATTATAAAACTGAAAAAAAACCAAACGTTATAACAAAAGACTTACAGAATATTTTTATAATATTGCTACGGTCATAATAATTTTCGTCCCTTTGTTTTCAAAATCGATCAAAATCGAGAACAGTGTTGCCTAGTTAAATTTGGCAAAAAATGTACAAGCGGCCGTACCACGAAACTCAATACATTATACAAAAGTGCGTTCGTTCGATATTCAAAGGCGTATTAGCAAAGGACCACAAATATATCGCACCAAATGAAAGCCGCAATGTGCAAATCACTAGGCATACACACGGTTGCATATTTGTTTTCTCGAAATTTATACAAAACCAAAATAATTGTTTTTAAAATAAGTTATGCATCTTTTGATTACAAAATCACTTGCCCGTGGAAGGAAACGTCCCTGTTTACCCGTTTACCCAGTAATGGTGCTTTTGCAGTTTATAATGGCACAATTATGCATTTCTCGCGTTTTCGACTGGTGTTTATCTACGATAACGGTCCAGCGCGTTCAGAAGTGTAGCAGCGCCAAGTAAGTGAATTTCACTTACCTTCAAAATTAATTTCACTTTCACGTACCTACCGAATAATGTTTTTTTAAAGACTACACTATCCCACTGCTGGATAAAGGCCTCCCTCCCCTGTCTCCACACCTCCAAAGCTTATATAGATTGTTTTTTCAACAAATTCACACGTTTAAAAAATATCGTCTACATGAGGCGCTACATAAGTTTCCGGAATTAATAAGAAAAAAATACTATAAATGGTCAGAAATGAATTTATTGTTTCTCAAAATATTCTCCGTTAGCGTTAATGCACTTTTTCATAAGAATGAACCAATTTTGAAAACATTTATGCCACTCCTCCGTGACAATCTCTGAAACATATTTTTCTTACTCTTTGGCAGCCTCTTCAGGTGATGAAAATCGTTGATCGCGTAGCTGGTTCTTAATTTTTGGAAATAAACAAAAGTCACATGGTGCCAGGTCGGGACTGTACGCGGGATTGCTCATAAGGTCAACGTTATTCACCTTCAAAAATTCATTTATCTGTCTGGCCGTGTGAGAACTGGCATTATCGTGGTGCAAGATGATAAGGCGTTTACGGTTATTTTTACGGAGTTTGTCAATAGCTTCCGGCAAACAAATGATCGTGTACCAATCATTATTCACGGTACAACGATTCTCCAAAGCAATAGTACCCACGTGTCCAGTTTTATTAAAAAAAGAACCAATCATCCGCTTAGATGCACTTTGCATGCGCGCCACTTTGATTGGTTTCGGCTCATCTCGCCATACGCTCGATTGTTGCTTTGTTTTGGGATCGTAACTATAAATCCATATTTCGTCACCTATCACTATGTCCTACACCAAATTTGACGCCCCTTCGTTGAATCTGGTAAGCATGGTATTGCACCAAGTGAAGCGATCCGTTTTTTGAGCCTCAGTCAAATTGTGTGGGTTCCACCGAGAGCACGGTTTTTTCACACCCAGATGTTTGTGTAGTATTGATTGTACATGACTCATGCCTATGCCTAAAGATGCCCGAATCTCATGGTATGTCACATGCCTGTCTGTTTGGATCGTACGGCGAACAGCATCGATGTGTTTGTTGTTCACAGCAGTGGACGGGCGACGATCACGAAATACGTCACTGAGATTCACACGATCGCGTTTTAATTCTACAAACCAGCTACAAATAGTCGTCTTGTATGGTACTTCACCGCCAAAAGCGAAGCTCCGCTGAGCTGTTGAATTACACTTAATGTCGTAGAAAATCAAACTACGAAAGTTTTCACGAGTTAAATCATCACCATGGATTAGTTGGAGTAGACAACCAATTTGTAAAATGACGCCACAACTTAAAAACAAGTGCCAGTCAGATGAAACAAACTGTATTCTACAGCCAAACATTTTCAAATTTTGTAATTACTTTTTTGGTATTGTTTATGTAAGTGGCCAGTTCCGGAAACTTATAGTGCGCCCTATGTATAAGTGCAATAAATGTAAAAGTTGATCAGCTTAAATTATTTTTAAGGCTGTAGAGTAGTGCATCAGTTCCACAATACAAAGTCATGTCGAGTATTCTTATTGTAGATGGCATAAGACTTTGAAACGTGATTCTATTGTGACCAGAACCGGAGCAAACTGATAAAAACCGGCTTTTGAAAGATTAAAATTCTATGAATATTTTTAGGGATACATCCGGCCCTTTCTAATGCCATATTATCGCCACTATACAAAGAGCTCCGACAGTTGTTAGTGTGTAGTGGGTTTTGATTATTATTAATCTGAAAAAAGTTGATAAAAACCATTCGGGGTAAAAGGTATTGTTGCAGAGTAGTTGGATGAATATTTACAAAAATATGAGCATTAATTATCTGAGATAAGCAGAATTACTACATCACACTTATTACCAATAAGCCAGGTCCAAAGTAGTTTTGTTGCATAATTTTTGAGACGAGAAAGAGATAGCGAGACCGACCCTAGTCGATTGCGAACAAAAAACCCTCGTGTCATTGGTTAACTTCAATGCGGGTACTGAAGAATAATAGCAGAAATTATTCACTAAAACGTCAAGGGTCTTCTTAAAATAAATGTTTTGTAAGCTTCACAGCAATGCGCCTACGGGTCTCACTGGGAACCATTCATCATTGTGACATAGAATTAGATATCTATAGCTTATTAATAGTATTAATATCGGTGTCGAAAATGCAGCGATTTCTTATATATGAGACTGATCGACGTTCTCATATTTTTACATTTATATGATTTATGTAATTATTCCATATTCTTGTTTGTGCCAGAAATTTCATTGAATGCCTTAAGGAAATAAATCTCACGTATTTAATTTTAAACTCTAGGTAGAGGGTGCTGTCAAGACTATTTTGTCATTTAACCTAGTACCAGATTTTATAAAGTATTTGCCAAAAATACACTAAGATAAAAAGAAAATTAGCTTTTTTATTTTGTTATTTTAAAATTGTCGCCTACTAATAATTTAATTATATAATAAATTTCGATGTTACCGTTCATAATCTCCTAGATTAACTTCCTGGTGTATAATTAAGCAGTAACACAGTTTAAGATTAATTGCATAAGATAAGTCGTGGGTGTTACCTTACCTGCAGAACGTACCTAGAATCTCTCCCACTAGCGCCATTATAACTTGACATGTGACAGATAAATTGTTTCATTAATAAATTGGGTAGCGAAAGTAATAATGGATATCCGAGAGTCAACAGAATTTTTTGTTTATTATAATTGTATTTACTAAAAGTGTTTATGGAAAATAAATATTCAGACAACTATCACTGATCTCCTTGGAAACCATTTAGGGTAGGTTGAGAGCATTGCACTCCACTCTAAAAATACACTCCGTCTGTCATAAACACTGCTGTTGGGAAAGCCATGCGCCGTAGTCGCCGCCGCCGTGACAGGTATTACAACTTTTGTCACACGCTATTTCTGATAGAGGACATCAATACGACGCAAAGTGAAAAGACAGCGAGCAAATACTTCATAACTTCTATTGTGTTATAATTATAAATCATTTTATAAGAACATGTTTTTAAGTATCTTTATTCTGAGGCAAAATGGAAGATTTTTTATTCTAAAAAATACATAATATTATCAACGTAAATTGAGAAACGTGTAATATTCAAAGACAGTGAAAACATTTTACATTGTTTTTAATACATTTCGATGAGGACATATTTTGTACATCAATGGTTGAAAACATTATCTTTTTATATTATATAACGTGTTTCTTCCTATATTTACCTGTTTACTTATTTTAATCTTTCTATTTTTATGTTATCAACTGACTGGACGAACGGGTCGTGCGCTTGGTGGTAAACGACACGCCTACCCATTGCTTTAATAGCAAAGATCTAAAGGACGCTGCAACTACAGCCCCTCACCCCAAGACATAAAGTTGACAAGTCTTGGCAATGCCTAGCGGCCGAAATAGGTTTGGTGGTTGTACTTGTCTAGACGAACTCTTTCACAAGAAGCTCTACTATTATTACTTACTTTATATTAATGTATATTATAGTATAATAGTATAATTCTTTTTTTTTATTAAATTGAAAAAAATTATAATCTAGAGATAATACTATAGCGTTAAACAAAAATCATTATATTTTTGTAGTGTTTGCAGAATATTTCTTAACAAGAAATTGTTCAATATTTTTACGATTTCACAATACTTGTAGTATTAATTTTTTTGGGTCAAATGTGTGTTTCGTCAACTATTCCGTTCGCGTCTCAATGTTGTAGCGGAGAGCGCCAAGGCATCACACGAACAGCGCGTGCTCAACACGCAGCGCCAGCGTGCTGTTTATTTATATATTTGAAGGAAATATGTGAAGCAATTAATCGTTATCGCTATATCGCCGGATTATCGGGATACACTACTTAGCGCTTAAAAACAAAACACAATTAAGTAGAACATTAGTGTCTGTATAATAATGTCTGAAATTGGTGCTGTGTGCGGCGTGACGCCTGCGCCCGCGCCCGTTCGCTGCGGCTCATTCGTACCATGCGCAGGCGCTCGGGTGGCCGCGCACACGCTTCCGACTTTATCTTCTTTTATCTACCCCCAATTTATAAAACAAATCTCGTAAATAAACGCGCGAACCAAAATTGTACTTTTGAAAATAATCTTGAGAAAAAAGATTTTAACGTGAAATACACGCCGTAATCGAGTGACAGTTAGTTATCTTTGGTGTCTTCATTAATTTTAATAAATGTATCAATAAGTAAATATACTACATCGTTATTATACAACATATAAGTGGAGCGTTTAGACGTTAAGCCAGCTGTCAACAGTGTAGATGGAACAATTGTGTGCACCTAAGACAGATATGAGTTCTTCTGAATTTGAAGTTTCATTGGAGCAGATACCTGCGCTGATTAAAAAGGTGATTAAATTTTATCAACTTGCCCTTGGCACCATTTACTAATTTAAGGGCACCTCGTTGACCCTGTAGGTACAGTTTTTGTTATTACAATTGATGTGAATCAATGTCCAATGCACTCATCATCGATGAACGAAAATTTCGCAATGTCATGTAAAACCGAGAAAGTTTCATCGTTTGAGTGTGAAAAGTTAATTAAACCATAATGCGTTTAATTATTCAATAATGCTAATCAATTGGCTTCAGTTAATTGCTTGGTCGTGTTAGATTCATAGGCATTATGATGTGAGGAAAGCCAGGCGCCGGCCGGCCTAAGTCAATTTTAAACGATAATCCTGTTATCACTAAGTCGCACTCCATTTAACAGTAATCGGTAATTTCACTAGTATATTTTATTGAATGTATGCATAATTAATAGTTTGTTGCTGGCACTGATTTTCTTCTCTTTCTGTAGTATCCACTTCCCGAATAATAACTGCCTTCGTGGTTCGTCCGGTTATTTTTTAGTTCGATTCTCGTGCTGGAAGAAATATTTGTATGGCCTACATTTATATTTCTCGTGAGTTAGGGTGTAAATTGTGGTATTGTATGAGTGTGTCCATGGCACCCGCGACACAGGGTTCCCCAGTGCGGGGCAATGAGTGTATACGTATTATCAATATTAGGTTTTGAATTTTGTTCCTTATTTTAAATAATTTCGTAATTCCAGAGCGACCCTCTCTCTCTGCCCCTCTACGTGTACTACTTGAAGTTTATTATCTTTTCGTTTGTTGTCTATTCTGATCTTGCTCACCATCTCATGACACATTATTACTATTATATGATCACAATAACGTACACAACACAAAAGCCATTGAATAATGTTATATCAACAAAGGTGACAACAAATGAAACATGAGAACACACGACTGCGAGTTTTATGTCAGTTTGTTAACCCTGTCTAGATCACTCTTAGACAAAATGAGATTCCTAGAACTTAGATTGGATATCTAGACGGTTCTAGTTTTACGAGATGTAAGCCCCGGACAGGGTTTCCATAGTGCGGGGTTATGAGTGTGTGCATTTAAAAAAAAAACACCTAAATTAATTGTATTTAAATAAGATTGCGAGCATTTTTATTCTTCGTTACATATGCACTTACTCAACTTGAAAAAAGACATTCTGCCATGTTGAAAACAAGGGTTGGTTTCTATACTGCCGTCCTTACCATAATAATTAGCGTAATCGAATTTTTTTGCGAAATTGAGTTATTAGCATAATCTGAATCAGCATATATGTATATATATATATATATATATATATATATATATATATATATATACTTACTTACTTACTTACTTTATTATATTTACTTTTTATTTTTTATTTAGTTTCAGTTTTATTGTTAAACAAAATTAGCGTAACTGACATTTTTCAAATGCGTCGTTATGACAAGGAGAGTAGTATGCTTCCTTTGAGAAACATTTGCTTGACTATACCTTACACATTTTAATGACACAAAACATGTTTTAATAATAATCTCACTACAGGGTACTAAAAAAATGACATCAAAAGTTCGTAGAATTACATCTACTCTCACATTTACTCTCCAAGTTTTATTGAAATCGGTTACCGGAAAGAGCTGCGAAATCGGATTCATCTAAATGGGACCACTGCCGAGGTACCCTCTTTCCAACAAAAAAAAACCACATCAAAATCCGTTAACAAATGCCAGAGTTATCGCGTAACATACATAAAAAAACATACTGTCGAATTGATAACTCCTCTTTTTTTTGAAATCGGTTAAAAACATAACTACGGCTTCTACAATTCCGCAATCACGCAAAGTAGTATACTGTGATAAATTCTTTATGTGAGAGGTAAAGGACCTTAAATCCATATTTTGAAATTTACATGTTTTACAAACGCTGCTGTAGAATGCTAAAAATCACGCAATGGTAAAAGATATAAGTCCTATTGTCAGTTGTTTGTTTTTTATTTAACATATTTAATTTATGTAAATCTAAATTTTATTTAATTTATAAAAATTAATATAAACCTAATGACGTAATTTTTATTGAAAACGCCCTGTATTCTAACCCAGCTAATATTGTCTCAACATAAAATGTTAAAAATATTAGGAAATAAAAAAGCATTTTTATTCAATAAATTACAAAAGCACTAAAATACAAAGTCGATAAATCGTAAGCTTTTTATAGTACTTTAATCGACTCTTGAAATTGAAACGCATGGTTGGTCTGCAATAAAACAGATCAGGTACTATCAATAGCCGTGTGGATCAGGTCTGTTGCATGCTCCGGCTATGCAGCCCTGGCTGTTTCAGGTTGCATTCCTAACTTACCGCAATACCAATTTATTACTGAAGTTGAATAAATTCCGTACTATGGGTGTGCCTTTAGAATATTATTTTTATTTAAAGGCATATTTTTGCATTCAAATTTGGGCTATAATAGGATGTAATGAGACGTTATAGAAAAATATTTTTAATGTTATTTATTTTATGAGTTGTTATGAAAATAGTCCACTAATTTGTTGTTATTGTTTCAAGATCAAACAAATTCAAAAATAATTGGTTCGATCCGTCTGGACTGGAATCAGCGACATTTTCACCCATATAGCCTGCGTAATAATCTTGATCTGTTTGAATTAAACAAATTCTCCCAGTACCGAAAAGGTCTCTAATATTCAAATTTATAACAAAATACCTAACAATATAAAAAATAAAACAAAAAGATATTCATTCACTGTGTTTACGGCTAAACAAAATTATTATTTTTTATAATATATGGTTTTTACAATGTGATCTCTGGTTTTATCTCTGAAGTAAAACGTGTGTAAACTAACTTTTGTCATAGCGGAATTATTGAAGTTTCTCTAAGTAAAATTGTGCTTATATCAAGACCAGAACTACTACAGTCCACTAATCGAAAACACACACTTCCAAACCAAAGACCATTTCTTATACAAGACGCATATTATTCAGTCTCAGAATTCATACAGAATAGTGATCTCTAACAATATGATCTCTATATATATATATATATATATATAGATCCATATTTATAATAATTTACCTAATTCAAACATACATTTCAATGGCGGTATTAATTTTAAAGGTTATTATAATACAAACTAGATGATGACGATGTGTTATTATTACTTACTGGTAACAACTGTTATACATATAGCATGGTTGCAATAAATTGTATTCTATTCTAAAACATCGTTGGTTTAAATCCAGCCGAATCTAAAAATTTTTCTTTAAATTTGTTCAATCTTTCTATCACTTATTTTAAATATTTTTTTGGGCACGTTACCATTGTATTGATGCAAGAAGACCTTGCGTTGCACCCCTTGAGGCGACCTAAGCAACGTCTCATTTAACGCTTCAGCTGTAGGTGTAAGTTGGTTTTAAGACAAATTTATTGGTCATGCCGCTATAAAGGTATCGTGTTATTACTTACAGGACAATCAACGACTGGGAGCCAGTTCTAACTTATAGTGGTAGATTGCATATTAATGATAGTGCGTGTTGCATAAACCTACGTAAATATAAAACTATAAGCACTGCAAGGTATCCTGTTTATTGGGGTAGTTATGTAATTGAATACTTACGGCATTTGGTTTTACACATTGAAATAATTCTCGATAATTTATGTTATTTTAGGGTTTTAATGGATAGATAAAAAAGCTCTGGCTTAGATAAAAAAGTTACAGTACTCTGTACTTTGTATATTATTTGATGGTTTCGCAAATATTGTTATCAATTGGGAAAAGAATGCTAGCCACTTGTGCAATCAAAGAGGCAGCCCCGAATAAATTCTTTGAATCTTCTACAACAAGTATTTACAATACAAATATACTTTATTGCACTTTAGAACAAATACATCCCAAAAAATACACACGTGCAATAGGCCCACTTATTGCTAGATAGCACTTTCTTCCAGGCAACCTCCGGATTACAGGATATAACTTAAACATAATAATTAATTGCGGGCGTAACAAATGCTTACTAAATACGAATTTAATATACATATTGCACTTACACAGATAAAAATAAATATTATGGTTCGTTCCGTAGCTCAGTTGGGATAGCGTCAACTACGGTATGGTGAAGGCGCTGGTTCGAATCCAGCCGGATCGAATGAATGTTTCTTTGTGGTTGGTCTTTGTATTAATAATTATAACAAACTAGTGGAGTAATTGCACGAAAAATAATTGAATATCATGATGGTAAAGTAAAACTTTTAAACATTGGTTCCTTATATTTGTTTAGGATAGGACTAAAAATAGTCTCATACGGCGTCGGTGTGTCAAACAGATCAAATAAAATACTTTGCGTTCCATACATTTTTCTCACTATTGCCAAAGTGCACTGTTACTACGCAGAGATAAAATGTGTGACACGCTGCATAAATAGACAACAGATGACGTCACTACACGAGTTTTCGTTTACAAATATCATTTAGTTATTATATTATGTATGAAAAGATATACAACACATCGATAGCTTTCTAGAATAGCGGCCTATCTCAAAAACATCTATTTAATCAAGAAAGTGGTTTAAAAAAATTGAGATTTTTTTAATAATAATGAGTGACAGGACGAAATCGTGCACCTGGTGGTAAGCGACACGCCTGTCCATAGCAGTTTCAAAGATTTTAATCACAACGGGGCACTGCCACTTCGGCCGTCAGCCTGAAACATAATTTAAAAAGTCCCATGTGCCTGCAATTTCACCAGCACCCCTATATGTATATACTTCAACGCGGAAACGCAGTAATGCTCACATTATAACTTGGCGGAGCAATACGTACCACGAACTTTCACAAGGAGCTCTACTGCTACTAAAGCGACATATAAAATAATAAATAAAAAGACATTTCCACAAAATATACGAAACAGAATACCTAAAAAACTAATAGAAAAAAAATCAATTGAGTGATAGGGACAAAAATGTTAAAGCTATTAATATGCGGAGCGTACACCTAGTAATAACCTAC